TATACTATAAAAGCTAACATACAGAACATATGCTAAATATATTTACAACCACTGGGTCGATGCCACTGCTCTTGGAGATATCCTACCCAAGGGTATCAACCGACCAATAGTCGACATTTGCGTGTTATGCATCATCATTAATACGGTCATTATAAATCAACTGTTAACAAAACATTGATTTTTGTTAAATACTAAGAATTGACTTGCCATGGAATAGACAACCTAGTCTGTATTTGGCTCAACCTTTTGAAATGTTTGGTTCTAAATGCTCATCAACTTCGTACTGTATTTTGCGTTCTAACTGCTTTGATTCGAGCGTCACTGATGAGTCTTGTGTAGACGAAACGTGCATATGGTGTACACTATTCAAATCCTGAAAAATTCGAGAGGTCATACAAATAAATAGTTTATACCTGACAAATAATATGCCTATTCTTCTGATTTGAATGATACCAAACATAGACATAATCACTCATTGGGTATCTTGATTGCACATTGTGTCTATGAGTATGTATATAAAACAGCATGGTCATCAGTTATTTCTTGGAAATAGAATATAGAAGCGGTACAGAAGTTGTTTGCTTGTATCTCAAAATTATTCAGATAAAAACAAATTGAGGTGACCATATTTCTTGAAATATTGATTCTTCCCTAGCAAGGACCTTCTATCTCCTGTTTGCTTTGAGATTTGAATTCTTTCATCACACTATTCTTGACACTTGTTCTGCAAAATGATTTGATATTTTACATATAGCTCAATATTGATGACTAGTAATGTGAACGCACTTTTCCGATCTGTCAACCTTCAACCTTTGACTTCCTGTAAGCCGACACATACATTCATGACTAAAAACGAGTATTCAGATAATAGTATATGAACAGTGAGCAAACAGCCTGAATAATTATATAACTATTACAACGACAATGACTGCACCACAGTTTAACAATCGATATGTGTATATTTGTTGTTTTATATGTTGGTATCAAATGAGTTTTAATTACAATTCTACGTATTTTTGTTTTTTCTCTGGTAGCAGTAGGAAAACTGCATGCTACATAGATATAAGAAGATGTGGTATGAGTGTCAATGAGACAACTCTCCATCCAAGTCAAAATTTATAAAAGTAAACCATTATAGGTCACAGTACGGTCTTCAACACGGAGCCTTGGCTCACACCGAACAGTAAGCTATAAAGGGCCCCCAAAATTACTAGTGTAAAACCATTCAAACGGGAATACATGTCTTTTTTAATATATGTCTTCAGTTGCTGGACATGTTATGGTTACATTCTAGATGAAATCTTAATATTGTAATTTCGTCGAATACGCAACCATACACAACAAAGGGATCACTATCTGTCCTCCATGTCAGCGTCACAAACATTTGATTTTCACTTATTTCAGAACATTGTTGGAGAAAACACCTGCTTTATGGCAATACAGTGTCATCCCAATATTGATCAAAGAAGCCCTATTCTAGGCAAGAAGAAAATTTAAAGGATATTTACATAACTTGATAATCTGTCCCAGCTCCCGAAGGTTGTTTATACTGTACTCATTTTGTCTACTTTTTAATGCCATTTTGTAAAACTAATAACCCTTTTGCATCCAAATTTAGTATTTTCTTGATTAAAACTAACTGAGATAATTAAAACAAGATCAGCAATTAACATAAGTTTAGTTTTTATTTTATTTTATTTTTTTTTTATTTTTTTGTATTTTGACTATCTTTGGTCTTTTAACAACATATTATCCAGTGAAAAAACAGCTGATTCATCTAATAAAAATTCTAGTCAAATATGAACAACAAAGAAAATAGTGTGCATAATCTTTTTCTTGGACACAAAAACTACACTTATCTGTCTTAGTTTTTTTTCACTGCAATACAATGTTTTTTGTTTTGTTGCAACAATATACATAATATTTATTGTATAATTTCAATCTAGAAATGTTTAATTTATTTTCAGTCAGATATTCAACAATGACTTGGTACAGTGAATTCATATTTAGGGTTTCTTGTATTTCGAGGATTCTATACCATCTGCTTATCTCCTAGATCGCTCTATTGTTATACTTATTTTTGATTATACATACATTTGTAAAATTGCTTTTGTTATCAATAAAAAAAAACATAAAAACGTCAAAATTACCATCATGTTTATCTTAAATTGTTAATTTATGGTAAGACGATGACGAATTGCTCGCATGTTGTCAATAAATATATAAGCTTCATCATTGTTTATGCTTTATTGTATTTTATTGAAAACAAAACATGATCTTATAAGATTCAGGCCTTTAACAATAGACAAATTTAGCTGAATCATGTAATACCGAAATGCCAATAAAGGAATTGGGAAATGCAAAAATGTGTAAGTTGATCATAGTTTCCTTTGCTTCTATGTGGTTTGTTAAAGTGTGTGTTTTTATTAGGATGTTATATTTTATAACAATAACATTAAAAAAAATCAGGTTAAAGCACCCTGAAATCTACCTTAAACGACTATCTGTCGTTATAGAAATAGACGTATGCATAAACAAAATACAGGTGTCCACCATATATGTTAAGTTAAAATGTACAAGTCGCATACACACATACATTCCCAAATAATATACAGATATCCACAAACTATGTCTAATTCGAAATCTTCTAGAAGTAAACACACTATAATCCCTTTATTAAGTAAATGCGTCTGAAGCGCATTTCGTGATTCTTCGTGACTTTTCGAGTCTCGGGTCAAATACAGCTAACCTCGAATCTATAACAGGGTCAATACAGAAACAGCCAGTTAATGACACTATAATAAATGATATGTTATGGTCTTTTTTTTTTTTCGAAAATTTCAATTCCAATGTAGAAAAAAGTAGTTTAGACATTGCATGCCTTTTAACATATTTTCTTCCTTGACATTCATCAGGAACGTAGAGCAAGCATGTGTAAAACCAAGGATTTTAAAGTAGTGCTGAAAAAGATAAATGAAAAAAAGGTCCCTAAATAAAATTGAGAATGGAAATGGGGAATGCGTCAAAGAGACAACAACCCGACCATAGAACAGACAACAGCAGAAGGTCACCAACAGGTCTTCAATGCAGCGAGAAATTCCCGCACCCGGAGGCGTCCTTCAGCTGGCCCCTAAACAAATATATATACTAGTTCAGTGATAATGAACGCCATACTAAACTCCAAATTGTACACAAGAAACTAAAATTAAAAATAATACAAGACTAACAAAGGCTAGAGGTTTCTGACTTGGGACAGGCGCAAAATGCGGCGGGGTTAAACATGTTTATGAGATCTCAACCCTTCCCCTATACCTCTAGCCAATGTAGAAAAGTAAACGCATAACAATACGCACATTAAAATTCAGTTCAAGAGAAGTCCGAATCTGATGTCAGAAGATGTAACCAAAGAAAATAAACAAAATGACAATAATACATAAATAACAACAGACTACTAGCAGTTAACTGACATGCCAGCTCCAGACTTCAATTAAACTGATTGAAAGATTATGTCTTCATCATATGAAGTATGAATCCAAGACAAACTTTGCATGATGTTTTTTTAAACAAAGATACCAGATATTTCTTCAACTAAGATATTGAAAAAATGTTAAAAAACTGTAAATATGTTGAACAAATCATTGCTCTTTAGTTCTAAAGTAAATATTTCAAATGTTAAAGCTGTCTTGGGCTGATCATCAAATTCTACAAAATTACTTCGAGATTGATGTATGATGACAATGTTTAATAATTATTGTTAACACTAAATAACCGCAGACGTTAAATGATAAATCTTTCAAACACTCTAGTACATGAAACACCGTTATCACGGATATATGTCATGTTAACAAACACTTTGCTGGTGTAATCCAGCACAGAAAGCAGGAACAGTAAACACGGATTTATATACAGTTATATATTGTCTTCCTTTTTTTTTTTTTACAGTTTATATATTTCTTTTGAGTATTTTGATTAACTATCTCTATAATCACAAATAATAACTTAAAAATGATATGTTTAAGTGCTCTATTGTATAGCTCATCATAGATACCATACTTTGGTATTTATAAACTATCTAATAATTGAACATGTATGTAATATAAACGTGTTAGATAATGGAGCTATTTCAATTGCACCATTTGTAATTGTTTAGGACTAGTTAAAGTAATGTAATCACTGAGGAATAAGGAAGTAAAGAGTCGAACTTTGTTTGGCGTTATATGTCAACTTCTGTAAAATAAAAAAGTTGCAAAATTTTGTTTAAAAACAACCTTTTTGTGAAGGTAAGTCAATTCCAAATGATGGACGACCTAATGATTTCATCAATTTTAAAAAACGAAAAATGTTTGTAAAACTTTTTTTTAAGTTCTTATAATAGTTGGACGAATGTCAAGTATTTGTATAAAATCTGTATCAAGTACCCTTTATTTTTTATATAATCTATTGATAAAGTGAATAAACTCATCATAGATACCAGGATTGAAATTTTATTTTTGCGCCAGACGCGCGTTTCGTCTACATAAGACTCATTAGTGACGCTCGTATAATATTTGGGCGATGTAATTTCTGCGCTTTAAATTCTTCCTTCTTCATATTAAGATCCCAGACTTAAAGATATGGTACGTTTGTATCAATCTCTTTTTTTTTCAAATTAATGTATAAATTATAAAGAAATGTCTTTTCATAAAACATATAATCTGATGCAATAGTGACAGGTTAATACTTTTCTCGTTTACAACTTGCTTATATCAGCAAAATATGGTATTATTCATTGATCTAATAAAGTCATCTTTAATGTTCGTGATAGCTGCATGCTCTGTGTCGGACTTTGTCCAACAACAACAAAAACTGCTCAACATACGAATGAACTTAACACCTTTAAACCACAATTAAAAAACTCTTCTATTTCATAATATATCATACCACTGTTTTTTTCCCTAAGCTATGTATTACGTGTCTTACGATAAAAGCAGTATAAAAAGACATACCGATCCGAATATTACTTCACATCTTCAACAGATCAAGTAAAACCATGTCAATGTTGACTCTACTTTTAGTTTCAATAGTCGGATACGTTTCGGCGTCTTGCAAAGCAAGTTCATTGTTAGGAGGACTTGGTAGTAGTGGAGTTGTCAATGGTGGAGCACTTATTGGAGGTGGTGGAGTTATTGGTGGAGCTGGTGGAATTGTCAGTGGTGGAGGACTTCTGCTAAACACTGGTGGATTAGGTGGAGTGATCGGAGGAATAAATACAGGTAATCTTTAATTGACCATTTATTTTGACGCCGAAACAAGAATACTCTATGAAAAAAAACTTTAACAATATCTTTAAAATATTTGAGTTGTAACACGTGTATGAGATTTTATAATAATACTTTAATTAAAAAGAAATCAATAAAAAAAAATGCATTTTTAAATATTTATATGCCTTGTATGAAGGTAGACGTCCTGATGAACGTCAATAAATCCCGAAAAAAACATATGTCGCACAATATGCACCAAGTGCAATTTTAGATAAATTACCAGCAAGGCTAAAAGCGTGATGGCCTGTTAATCTCTTTTGGAATCATCGGGTCATTGTCATGTTTTATAGATTAGAGGAATGTTTTAGAGAATCTAAGAATCAAACTGCATTGACCCGAAATAAAAGGAGTAAGTTCGATACGGGCCACATTTCACCCCATCATAAGGTTCAATGATTCACGATAGAAGAAATCTTTTAAGTTGACGAATAGGTCTATACAAAATGTTATCCAATGGCTCGATGTTTACACCCTAACAGGCCAACAAATAGAGGTGTAGCTAAATTTTACAAAGTTGTCGTAATTTCAATATCATTTAGTCATAAGAAAACTAAATATTCTAGTGTAAAATTTTATAACACATATTATTGAAAACGATATATGTGTCGAAAATGCAAAACCGTCACTTTTTTCGAATTTGACCTACCAAATTTAGACTTATTACCGTATTGTTACGAACATGAGCAACACGATGGGTGCTACAATGAGCAGGATCTACTTACCCATCCGCAACACCAGATATCACCCCCAGTTTTTGGTTGGGCTTGTGTTGTTTATTTTTGAATGTTCCTTTGGAATCCTTCGCCTCTCTTTCGTGAACGCATGCGCTCTATATTGCCTGTTTTAGTAATGATTGCAAACGTGTTTAATGAATTTCAATGGAAAAACATACTGACTGCAATTTGTTGACGTCATAAAAAAAAAACGTAATTTTTCAACAAAAAAGACAGACTTTCTATGTAGTTTGTGTATTAGCTATGAATGACTGTTATATTGGTCAATACATCTAAATTGTAGCGAGAAATGAGGGGTGCTGTAGGGCCTGATCGAACCTAACTCTTTTGCTATAGGATTGAATCCATCTTGGTCATAGATCCTAACATTGTATTGGATATACACATATCTGGATTTCGAATGTTTCCTTCTGAATGTTTCTGATTCTGATTAATCAAGAAATTCAAATGTGAATCCCAAAATCGCTTTTAGAGGTATACTATTGCATCGAGTATTATTGCTTCAGTACATTTACAAAATATAATTAACATCAAACAATAAATTTCTGAATTGATTTATTGACAGGACTTGGAGGTCAACCATGGTGCACATGCAGTTTGAAATGTGCTCCAGGACAGATCAAATTCAACAAGAACTGTAACTTGGCACCTCTCCTTCCTGGTAGTTTGAATACTTGTTGTTCCTTATTGCCATGGTGGGTTACCAACCAGAATTACGGTGCTTCCTTAGGAGGTGCTGGTATCATTGGTGGTGGAGGTATTATCGGTGGAGTGAGTGGTATTTTAGGAGGTGGTAGTGGACTTCTTGGTCCAATCGGTGGTATTGGAGGTCCAATTGGTGGTGTTGTCACAGGACCTGTCAGTGCCATTGGAGGAGGCAGCAATGTTGTCAGTGGACCAATTGGTAAAGGAGGATATTATTAAGTATTTGAAATGTAAGTTTATATATTTTTTGCTATATATGATCTATGTAATTAAGTATTCCATCTGTATTACAAGTGGATGTACATCGCTAATCGTACATACTCCGACAAACGTTTTTTTTTTTCTTGTCATGTATAAGCTTTCACACTAAGACGTTCGAGGTATATAATTGTTGTACAAATTCTGAATGATTCTTGTTTTGCCTTGGCACAACATAGAAGTTTGTGTGCAATTCCAATTAAAAGATATGCTTTTAACATGAAACCTATTATAAAATTGGCACTGTTCAAAGGGTTAATTTCACCTGTATTATCGATAGTGTGTACATCCTGCCCTATATTTAATTCAAGAAAACCTGAGCAATGCTTTTTTCCGTTGATTATTAGGAGGGACATCATTTTCAAGGGGACAATCAAGGGTTTTCTGATTTGTATCTATATCAAATAATTACGTTAAGTAAGTATGTGGTCTTTGTGTTGTTTAAATAAATCCAGTGCAGAATTAGGCTCTAGCATAATAACGTCTACATTCTGACATACAATAGACATGATAGACTATCAGATTGTATATGACCTATTTTTTTTTTTCTTTGTATTTGATAGTTGCAGGGCTTTTAAATGTTTTAGTAACAGTTACATAAATATATCTAATTAGAAACAAAATTTTTTAACCCATAAGTCGTTATCGTCAGAACAATATTAGGAAAGATAACTAAGGGTCTAATTTACAACACATCAACTAAACTGCTAGAAAAAAAAAACTTGTTGTGTCACATACATGTGGGACTCCAATAAAACATTAAACATATTAATTAGTGTATTTTCTCATTATAGATACTCAAGAACACAAAGACTACCTGTTGTGATATGTTTGTTATTAGTAGTGATTTATAAATATAATTACCAACCGATTTCCATGTTTATTTTTGTTAACAATCACATGCTGTGTGTTGGGTGTATAATTATTATTCTGTTAATTTGACCTCTACATTTTGAAAGTGTTGTCCGTCATAGGAAAAGTCAACAAAACGAAAATAGACAACAAAATTTTACAGACTTGACAAACCAACCTAGGGTGATATGTTATGCTGCAAAAAGAAAATCACATCCTCCTTAGCTGGAAGTTAGTTTATCGAGCTAAGGCGTTTACTTTCTAGGGAAAATATAGACTTATACTAGTTTGTGTTTCGTCATGTTAGTGCGTATAGTAAAATGTTGTATACAAAAAAGTAAAATCACAAAAATACTGAACTCCGCGGAAAATTCAAAACGGAAAGTTCATAATCAAATGCCTAAATCAAAAGCTCAAACACATAAAACGAATGAACAACAACTGTCATAATCCTGACTTGGTACAGAAATTTCTTATCTAGAAACTGGTGGATCAAACCTATTTTTACAGCCAGCAAAACCTCTCACTTGTATGACAGTTGCATCAAATACCATTATATTGACATCAATGTGTGAACAAAACAAACAGACACAATAGGTAAATATGTCAAAAATAGGGATACAGCAGTCAACATTGTGCTCTAATCGTAATCCCTATAAAAACAAACAAATATGTAACAATGAAGCACAAAAAGGTATTTTACATAGGTAATACTGGCTTATTATACAAACTGGAGGAGTTAAGCAAACAATACATGCACATAATATAATAAAGCTTGTAGAATGATGATTAAAAGAAAATTTCTTCTTGCTCATTATCATACTATGTCTCTTCCTCGTCGATCAAAAAGTTTTAAACATCGGTAAGTAACTGTCACCTTTATTTAGGCCACATATCTTACAACCAACAACTTCCACGTCGTTTCAAAACACAAACCCCTGGACATGGGACTTGGCTAGTTGTGCGCATGTTTTTTGTTTGAAAGTCAAACGAATTATTCAAAGTGTTGTCTGTCGACATATTACTAGAACGCATACTTTAGCGTTGTAAGGCTATAGGTTGTATTGGTAATTTTGTGGTGATATTGTTTAATGTTTTAAGTGTTTTTTGTTTCTGTTGCTCCCTTTGAACAAATCATCAATGTTGTTTTAATTTCATATATTCCATTATCCATTTTCAAAACAAAATCAGTAATAATAATAAAAACGTAGTTGATGTTATAAGAAATGAGTTAGTACAAATTATCTCAGTGCTAAATACATCAGAATTTACCGACTAGTAAATAAGCTACCGATTAGTGTATGTATCGAGCTTAAGTTGAATTAGAATACGAAAAATGCAGTGGCATGCATTTTGAATAGAACAAAGCTGTCGTAGAAGAAAACATCTGACCTGGGTTTTTTTCAGAAAACAATCAATCTTTAATTATTAAAATCAAACAGGATTCAAACTAATATCATCGGTGATGACTCACTACAAAACTTGCCTCAAATATATTGAAAGTGCATACTTACAATGGTACAAATACTATTTCTAATGATATAAATATTTTCGAAATATACATATATTGTATATATGAATATTTCCTTTAGAGTTAAAATGCAATTTAAATATTTTGCCTTCTTACTTAACCCGCATATCAGTTGTGTTTTGATCTGATTGCGGTAGAATTTGGTTTTAGTTTAAACATATTATATTGTTCAAAATGATATATGGATCAGACTTTGGTGTAACAACCAGTAGCTTTAAGATATATGTAATAGTAATACAAGCAACTAACAATTTTGTAGTGAGCCTCCGTTTGTATTCGAGAACTAAATAAATCTATAGGTTGGTATATTTCACTTTGGCAATTATTAATTAAAAGCAGAAACTTATGATACAAAAACTTATCATTGGTCACTAATGAACCATGAAAATGGGGACAAGGTCAGATGGAACCTGCCAGATCTAGACAGACATCTATCCCTTACAATCATTCCATACACCACACATAGTTGACCTACTGCTTATATAAGAGAAATGAACCTATTCATGAATGAAACTTTCACCTTGATCACTGATCCATGAAATGAGGTTGAGGTCAAGTGAACCCTGTCTGACTGCCATGGAGACGTAGCAAGTAACCCATATACCAAATAAAGTTATCCTAATATTATTCATTATACCGGTAAGTGAGAAATTCGCATGACCAAAAAACTAAAAATAAACATTTGAGCAGTCACTGAACCATGAAAATGAGGACCAGGATTTGGGACATATGACAGACGGAAACTTTGTAACATAAGGTATCTGCTAACAAGCTCTTCTTATTTATATTACGAATCCAGGTCTTCTACGGTTCTACCCTCTAAAATATAATAGTTGGCCCTACCACCGTCGGATTGTAATGCCTTTGTATTGCATACTGTGACACTGCGAGACGAAATGTAAGTCATAAAAACATGCAACATTTTTCAAAAAGAAAACAGTAAAATGCACAAATTATTGCATTCATTTATTATAATATTTTTAAAAGTAACTGACCAAATTAGAGATTTATTTATGCTATTACAGGAAAAGCTCTTCCAAATTCTGATTGCAGAATGCAAGTTCTTATCATTGAGATACTCAACCAATCTCAACATTCAAATGTTTTTAAAAACTTCTGTCACATACATGTAATTCCTGATTTAAGTTTTCAGACTTTTCAGAGTCTTCTTATATTTATCATGTCTTATTATTTTATCTGTCATTCAGGTTTTGTATATCTGTTCTTTAGGTTCAACCATGGTTATAAAATTTCCCAACAAATAGAGGCTAAGTTGTCATCCTTCACTTCAGAAATGTTGGTCAATTTGAAGGCACGCTATTTACTTATGTCCATTTGCTACAAACATTTTGAACTTCCTACTCAAGTGCGCAATATTGGCAACACAATATGCTGAGCCTCATTGAACTGTAGTTGAATCTTTTAATCATCAATCCTGCAATCATATGAAATTTCAGTAAAAATCAAAATAAATATAATAGCAATTCATTTACAGTTCATGTTGTTAATTTCAAGTTCAATGAATCACTTTGGTTGAATGAAATGTAAATGATTGAAGTTTAAATAAAATGCTCCACTGGGTGCAGCTTGATACGACCGCAGAGGTCGAACCCTGAACAGTTGGGGCAAGTATGGACACAACATTCAAGCTTGATACAGCACTGAATTTGGATTGTGATTAAATATTTGACACAGCATAGGTTTCTGACACAGAATGAATGTGGTCTAAGAACTTGAATTTTTTTTAATTTACCTATTCAAACTATATAATTATTATTTGCTTTTATATATAAATCAGAAATAACCAATTTCAAATTTAAAATCCCCCCCTCAAATTTTTTGAACCCCCTTATGATTCATCACCCCCAAACTCAATCCCAGCCTTCCCTTTGTGGTATGGTACCTTGCAGTAAAATTTCAGAGAGATCCATACACTTACACACAAGATATTGTCCTGAAACTAGAAAAATGCTTGTTTTTTGCCCCTTTTTGGCCCCTAATTCCTAAACTTTTGAGGCAATTACCCCCAAAATCAATCCCAGCCTTCCCTTTGTGGTATGGTACCTTGCAGTACAATTTCAGAGAGATCTATACACTTGAACACAAGTTATTGTCTGGAAACTAGAAACATGCTTATTTTTGGCCCTTTTTTGGCCCCTAATTCCTAAACTTTTTGGGCAATTACCCCAAAACTCAATTCCAGCTTTCCCTTTGTGATATGGAACCTTGTAGTACAATTTCATAAAGATCCATACACTTACTCACAAGTTATTGTCATGAAACTAGAAAAATGCTTGTTTTGTGCCGCTTTTTTGGCCCCCAATTCCTAAAATTTTGAGGCAATTACCCCCAATATCAATCCCAGCATTCCCTTTGTGATATGGAACCTTGTGGTACAATGTCAGAGAGATCCATAGATTACACACAAGTTATGTCTGGAAGTTACAAAAATGCTTATTTTTGGCCCCTAATTCCTTATCTGTTGGTACCATAACTCCCAAAATCAATCCCAACCTTCCTTTTGCGGTATTGAACCTTATGGTAAGATTTCATAGAGATTCATTCATTTAAACTAAAGTTAGAGTGCGAAAACCATTGTGTCTTCGGACGACGACGCCGCCAACGTCATACCAATATACGACCGCTTTTTGCGGTCGTATAAAAATGAACACTAAGGAAACGACCATTAATTTTAGTACATGTACTAGTATGTGAACAAGCGGACCAATATATAAATTTATGTGCAAGTCCAAGGTGGAACATTGTTTTTTTTTTTTTTTTTTGCTTTATACCAGTGATTTTGCAATCACTTGTCATTTTTCCCTTTATCAAAAGTATTTCACTAAATATAGTAAAAGTTTAAAAAATAAACTTGACACAGTCTATATGTTAATTTGGTAGAAAAATTCAAATGATGAAATCAAATAGTTATACTCTGAAATGTTTAAATATGCCAAATATTCAAAGTGAATGAACCATTACTAAAAATGTCAGTAGAAATATAAGAAATGCCATTAATGCTAAATACAACTGCATACCAAATTAGAGGGTGGTAATGGGGTACCAGTCCATCATTAAGATTAAGGGTAAGAATTCTTGCCAAAGGGCGTTAACGGTAATTTTGGTCTATGACGATAAAATGTACACTTTCTTTTTAACCGTAAAGAAATCGACTGATTTTGACGAATCATGTTAACTTTTTCTCCAAAATTAACAGTGATGATAACTTTTTGAGGTCTCTGATGAATCACAATAACTTTCGGATATTATGACAAATCACGGTAAAATTTTAACCAATTTGACGCTTATGGTAGCCTTAAATGACCGTTTGACGCCTGACAATACAGGGCATTCCTACCCTCAAATAAAACTAACTTATCATAAGTGGTTCTTTGTTAACTGATCTACACGAAATCACACACTTTAAAATGTAAACTAGTTGCTAAAATGATAAAATCATTAGACCATGACCAAGGGTCGA